ACTGCTAGTCAGTCAGGATGTGAACTCCTCCTGATCCCTATACCTGACTCCTTTCTCCCTCACTGCATGTACCCTTCTACATGTCCTAACCTCACCTGGGAATGGACCCCAGCATTATACTGCATGTTATTTCTCTCCTCAAGCATTTATCATTTCTTTATGGTCAAAAGTCTAAAATCTAGCTTCCTAAAATGCACAGTATGTAACTGGTACTTGTGGTCACCATTCTGTATAATTATACCCTAAGAATCTTGCTTCCCACTAAATATGTCATAGCACCAGCCCTCATTTCCTGATGTTCTGGTCCCTAAGATCAAATTTTGATTGAGACCAACTGACATGTCTTTTTCTTCCTAAATTAATTATTTCCCGATTTATCTATTTTGTTTCCAATGACAGGATTTCATTTTTCTTCACATCTGAATAATATTGCACTACACATATATACCACAATTTATTGGTTATTTTTTTTTCTTTCCTGGCATCTGTTGCTAAAAATCTAGACAACTGAAGAAATAATATTTCAACTAGGTTTATATGACCTCAAAAGCATAGAAAAGGAATATAAAAGCCAAAATCAAGTGTCTGTGCTAAAATGCTTAAAACAATTTTTAAAGCAAAAAAATATTTTTAAAAATTTACTACAGGGCTGGAAAGATGGCTCAGTGGTTAAGAACACTGGTTGTTCTTCCAAAGGTCCTGAGTTCAATTCTCAGCTACCATATGGTGGCTCACAACCATCTATAGTGATATCTGCTGCCCTCTTCTGGGGCTCAGGCACACATGCAGACAGAATACTGTATACATAATAAAAAAAAAAGTCTTAAAAAATTTACTACAAAGTCAAACAAAACTAGTCAAATATTTATATCTGACATAGCATGTGCAAACATAGAGCTATATATTAGAAAAAAGTAAATTTTTTCATGCATTTGAAAATAAACTAGTGAGATAAGGGACAGCCTGAGTTCCATCCCTGACACCCGCATGGTGGAAGGAGAGAATGGGCTCCTGCAAGTTGTCTTTGGAACTCCACATGTACGATGTTCTGTCTCTCTGTCTCTCTGTCTGTCTCTCTCTCTCACACACACACATACAAAGAAACAGAAAGAAAGGTTAATAAAAAAGAAATACGTCATCAAGGGGATAAGAGGATGGGAGGATAGGGAGATATAGAGGTGGGTCGGTGTAAAGGTACAACAGGAGAGAGGAGAATGAACACAAACAGTGTTTGAAAATGCCATAATGACACCTGGTACTGTGTATGCTCACTGAGAGAAAAGAATTTTCAAATGTAAAACAAATAACAATAGTTAAGAAAAGCAACTACAAACATGCTATAGTCCCTGAGTCATGCAATCTTAATGACTTCACTTATGGTAGGTCACAGGGTTCAGAGCTGGGTAAGACTGCTGATTATTTTTCTCTCCCAAGAGCATACTTAGACCCTTTTAGCACTAGGAAAGCTAAGCAGCTTCATTTCTCCACGTCCTATGACTTAAGCCTGTGGTATCTTCAATAGGGTCTTACCATCAAGTTCTGGAGGAAAACAAGGGAACTATTCTAATTCTGGTTCCCAAAGAAACAGCTTCCGATAAAAGTTTATATTTAAAACTCAATGCCTTGTCTTATTTCCCATGAGGCTGCTACCGATTTCACCTCTAAAGCCTAAAGTATCCTTCATAAATAGTTAGCTCAAATTAAATTGGCATTGGTTAAAAATCAATTATTGACTTTACTGTAACACAAAAAGATTCACTAAATTTATATATGGAATTTATATATTGAGTATGTAACAGCAAATACTTTGAGAAATATAAACTGCCAGCTATATATTTCTAATATAGAATAAATGTTGAACTATGGTTAAAGTTTACGTAGAGCCTCAAAGCTGAAAGGTAATTTTAATTTCACCTTCAACATACTACTATTATGTATGTATTAATTAATTTCTAGGTCTATCCCAAAAGAAATTCCATCCTTAAGCATTATGCTGAGAAATCATTTAGAACACTTATTAAGAAAGATGATAGGCTTTGTCAGGTACAGAAGCTTTTGCATTAGGTGTTTTGATATGGGTGGAGGTTTGCATTTCTTTGACACTCTCCTTAATGCAAATCTTGTTGAAGACCCTGAGCAGCAAGATCTGGAGGTGGAGCATAGTATGTGAAAGCACACTTCCACATCAAGCACATGAAATCCAGGATCCAGAATAACAGAAGCATCCCCCATGAATGCAAAGGCTCATGTTAGCAAGCAAACAACTGGAAGATTGCCACACTTTTTTTCAATATAACATCCAGAAAGAATCATCCCTGTAGCCAGACCCCTGTCTGATGGTGACTAATAAGTCTTCAGTATGCTTTCCTGGTGGGCAATGATGGCATTACTCTGCACTGTAGCCATCTGCCTGATTCACGTTTGAGAATTACAAGTTTCGGTAATACAAATGCAAACAAGAATCATGAAATTAAATCACTATTAGAAAAAGAATAACATTTCTTTTTTCAGTATAACAGAGAAGAATGTGAATAGGTACACATAAACTGGAATTCTACCAATGACAAGAACTATGTTAGTTCATATCAAATCCAAGAACAATAGACAACAAATATTCAATATTTTTGTTTCTGACATGTAGAACTCATGACAGTGGCTAAGTCCCTTCATAGGCTTCCTGCAGGTCTGAATTTGTATATACGTCACTCTCAGCATCTCAATCTTAGAGCTACTTTGTTTTCCTCTTTGCAGTCTTTATCACCATTCATTATAATAGGTTTTTTTCATTAGTTGTGCAGATCTGAAGTCATGTTTCTGAAAATTGTAAAAATGTAATTCATTTTTCCTTGGCGTATAAGGGAAAAGATTCTATTCAAAACTTTTTGAGTTAGTCTGGGAAATGAATAGCTTTCTCTTCAATGTGCTTTTACTGACACATGTGCATCAAGCTGACAGATTATAAATTTAGCATTGGCACTCTCTCAGGAATATGAAAGGCCTACAGAGTCCCAAAAGGAATGTAGAATCTCAATGCCTTCCCATATACAGTTGTTTCAATAAAAATACTTTCAATACAACAGTTCATTAATTCAAGGCTTGGAAGAAGGGTGAAAGAATAGGAGAAGATTCTGAATAAAGGAAAGATATCTTTTACAAAGATAACTTTGGCTATAAGAAGGGTAAACAAATAAGTACTTAAAATGTTTACTAGGTGTATAAAAGTAAAGATTTACATGTTTTAAATACAATGTACTTTGGGAGGAAAATTAAGACGAAGCCCTTGTCTTGGGCCACATTTACCTTAGAACCAGCCATTTCTTCTTCCTTCTCTGTTTCTGTATTTGATTCAAAAGACAGCAGATCAGACAGACTTTTACAGCCTCTTTTTGTTGGTTCAAGATTGATATTAGCTTTCACTTAGTTGTTCTGCTCTCTGCTTTACTAACAGTTTTAAAAGAGACAGTATTTGGCTTAAATCCAGAAAAACATTCAAGATCAATGTTTCTACATAAGGAGGTGAAAAAATATGAGGCACTGATACTTCATACCTAAAAATGAAAAGAAAGATTAAAATTTTCAGAAAATAAATGAATTAATTTACTTGTTTTTCTCACAATAAACTATTAAGTGTATAATAAATCACACATGAACACTTCTAGGACAGCAAATTCCCTCCCATATGATTTACAACTAAACTTCAATGGCCAGGTAACAAGACAAAGGGTCATCCATCAGAAGCCTTCAAAAGAGGAACTATTTATTGGATTTTTGAACCACTGTAATGGATTTCAATAATAAGTTATCTACTATATTTTCTTGAGAAAAATTTTCCCACATTTTTTAAAAGATTTACTTATTCCTGCCTGCATGTACACCTGCACACCAGAAGAGGGCACCAGATCTCATTATAGATGGGTGTGAGCTACCATGTGGCTGCTGGGAATTGAACTCAGGACCTCTGGAAGGGCAGACAGTGCTCTTAACCTCTGAGCCATCTCTCCAGCCCTTTTTTTCCCCCACATTTTGCAGTCACAACAAAATATAGATTTCCCCTATTTATCTTCTCTGGTGTCATTACCAGTAATCCACGAAATTCCAGTCAAGGTTATCTGCCAAGAATAAACTGAGAAAGCCATTCACTTGTTACTAACGGAATGTAAAGTCAATGTCCTAGTCTGCTCTCTGAGGTTCTGATAAACACCACCACCCATACCGACTTCAGGAAGGAAAGGGTTTATCTGATTTCTAGTTTACATGCCATCACTGAAGGAGTCACGGCAAGAGCCTGAGGACAACAGCTGAAGCAGAGATCATGGAGGAATGGTTACTTTCTGCCTCTGCCTATGACCTGCTCAGTTTGGTTTCTTATACAACCCAGGACCACCTGACCAGGGATGGCACCGAACACAGTAAGTTAGGTCATCCCACATCAATCATTAATCAAGAAAATGCCCCACAGACATGCCCATAGGGCAGTCGGATGGAGGGAATTCCTCAACTTGGGTTCCCTCTTTCCTGGTGACATTAGTTTGTGTCAGGTTGACATAAAGTAACCAGCACAATCTCAAGGATCTTGCAAAGAACAAAAGAGTTTTGCGGTTAGCTTCCCTCCTATCCTCTCCCAGAAGGAATTAGGAAAACTGTACAATAGGAAAAACAAAACAGATTTTCAGAGGTCCTTTGGAGACTGGTTCTGAACTCACATGATTCCAAGACATGACTGCCATTAAGGTGATGCCTGCTTAACCCTGGAACAAAAGAAAGAGTGCCTTCAGGGCAAGACCCTATGCAGCTAAGTTTCCAACATGTGAAAGTTTCTTAGCTCCTAGAGAGCAACTGAAAACAAAAGCTGCTGCTTATGTGGCTTAAGGCAACGGTCCATGCAAAGCTGGCAGCAGAATTTGGTAGTTCTGACCACATGCTGCAAGTGTTAAGGCCATGAAGGGAAGAGGTCGTGGATTCCTTGTCCATGATCTCAGAGAGCTATGAGTGTGAGACTTGGGGTGCAGTGGAGATTCCAAGATGTTGCAGATGCCAGAACTGTGGGATATCTGGTACAGGAAGTAGACTTAGCTCAAGAGAGGGAGACACAGATATGTTGCGGGCAGCAAATCTGGTGCAGAGCCATTTAAGCCCTCATACACCTGGCATGAAGCTACAGAATTTGGAGTTTGCTCTGCTGGATACCCAGTCTTGCTTTAGTCTATTTTTTTTCCCTCCCTATGTCCCCATTGCTTCTCTTTGAACTGGTAATAGATATTCCTTAAATGTTGGAAGTATATAATTCAACTTTTGATTTTACAGGTTACAGTTAAGAAATTACCTTGAAGCTGGTCATGGTTGGCTCACACCTTTAATCCCAACACTCACGGAGGCCACCACAGTGTCTGGTGGCAAAGACTAATTAAGATGAATATCCACAAGAAAATGATAAATGCATTATTAAATACGGCAGAAAATTCAAGCGAAGACTTGAAAGTAAACCTTGGATTTGAATATATTTTAGGCTATTGATGAGCCTTTAAAGAATTAACTGAATTAAAGTGCAAAGAAGTGAAAATATACGTGATATGTATGTATATCAAACACAAACATACAAACACACACAAAGTACCATGCTACATGCTACATGGAGAGATGAATTGAGAAAAATGTGTGGAGATGGTTTATGCACTTGATGTTGGCTCAATTATCCAGAGTCTAAGTTTTCATTGGTAAGTATAACTTTACTGGAGCTAAATTCACATGTCAACAGCCACAGAAAATGTTCTGGGTGAGCTTTGCTTTAGCAATAGGCCAGTATTTTCTCTGGGAAACACTGAAAGTGTTTAATTCTAGGTGGGTAATGATAAACATTCTACTATGTCGAATGTCTAAGAAAAAAAAAGTTATTTTAGACATTGTGCCAGTGAGTAAGCATGCTCTATGAAAAGGTAAACTCTCCTTTGGTTCATCTGCATCACGAAAAAGTGTGTCTGCCGTGACAAAAAAAAGATAAATTTAAATTCAGTGTAAGTGACTAGTTCATACAACCTGCTGGTGTATAGAAATGTGGAGGACACTAAAGAGAGGGAAAATCTTCCACCTGCAGGGAAACTCGTTAAGATACAAATATAGGTGGAACAGCCTATGCAGAGAAGCCCCTGTTAGTCTCAGTCCCTTTAGGGGCTGAACAACTCTTTCACAGGGGTCACCCCAAACCATCAGAGCACACAGATAGATACATTACAATTCACAGCAACAGCAAAAGTACAGTTATGAAATGGCAATGAAAATAATTTTATGGTTGCGGGTTGCCACAACACGAGGAACTGTATTAAAGGGTCGCAGCATTAGGAAGGTGGAGAACCTCTGCTTTAGGAAATTGCTCAAACTGATCAGGTACACTAGGTCCCTCTGTCCCCAGACAGTAAGGACTGCTGAGACACTCTCACACAAGCTAAGCTGCCTAAGAAGAGGTAGCTGAGCCACTAGCCAGGAAGAAGCAGAGACCATCCCAGTCACCTGGAACTGGCTCAGACCACCTGAGCTACCTGAAAAGGACACCCTGGTGAGCTGCCTGCATGTTGTGCAGTGAGCTCAGGGTTTCCAGCTTTGGGGAGGCATCACCCATGCTGGGGTGGGTTGTGGATGATGCAGCTGTCCTTGAGTTATTTCTGCTCCTCTAAGTAACCCCTCAGCCATACTCCAGTAACTACCCCAGGGAAACTCATTGGTGTTTTCCTTAATTCTGTCTCATCAGTTCTTTGTCTGGGGTGGGTAGGCATTTATTGAGTCTCCCCAGGAATAGGGTCCTACAACACCTGCTTTTCATGACTTGAGGCTTCAACTTAAACAAATTTCACAATTTTTTTCTTTCTTTTTTTTTTTTTTTAAGTTAGTAAGGGTGGGTCTCAGATAGCCACAGCTGGCTGCCAACTCACTCTGTAGCTGAGGATGACTTTTAAAATATATTTTTAATTAATTTTTTTAGACAGACTCTCATTATGTATGCTTTGCAGACCTAGAATTCACTATGTAGGTCATGCTGGCCTCAGGATCACAGAGATCCAGCTGCCACTGCCTCTAGAATCCTGGGATTAAAGGCATGCACTACCACAGTCATCCTGACCTTGAATTCTTGACCTACCTCTGTGTTACTCTTTTCTAAGTTTAATTTAAAATCACATATACAATTAAAAGTACATAAAATGTAGAAATAAGATGAAGAATAACAACTCCCCAGAGGTTTGTTCCACTTGTATTGCTCTTGGAGATGCCAAAATTACTCTGGAAATACAAGACAGAAAGCAGATGGAGTGAGTAAGGAACTTGTTTGGCCCTAATCCTTGTCTCCTCCCCATACATTAGCTAGAAAGCACCAACATGCCCCTGTGTGGAAAAATACAGCTGAAGGAGGTACAGAAAGGACTCAGGGAAGAGGCATCTATAAGTATAATAATGTAGATTACACAAAAAATTGATCTGGAGTTAATGCAAACATATATTTCCTACCAAATGAATGGTTATATAATGCTACGTATAAATACTGTCTAGTCATTTAAACAAAATAAACACTACAGAAATACATTGTGTTTTTGTTCTATTGGTGCAGGGATTCTACACCTCACTGCAACACACCTGCCCAAACATCATGGAAAGTATGTATCTTACAACACAATTATATAGGGAAAATGTACACAGATTTCTTTCAGAATAGTTTTCCAGCAATGTTGCCCAGTGTTGGTCCTACCTGTGTCTGAATGCTTGAACAATATGTTCCAACAATGTCTTTTGATTAGGTTTGGTCAAACAAACATTAGAATATATGATTTAAACATTCTCTTCCATTGTTGGTTATACCCTTGGGCAAGATATAGTGTGTAGAACCCCATGGCCAGGACACATGCCCTAGGCAAGAGCAAGCCCAAGCTACTACAAACAGGAGGGAAGCCATCTTCCCCCACACACACACACTGGAAATTTTATTGATGCTTTAAATTTTTTTTTCATTTTAATTTTATTTTTTTCTTATCAGTTACATTTTATTAACTCTGTATCCCAGCTGTATCCCGCTCCCTCATTCCCTCCCACTCCCACCCTCCCTCCCTCATCTTCACCCTGCCCCTTTCCAAGTCCACTGATGGGGGGGACCTCCTCCCCATTCATCTGATCCTGTTTTATCAGGTATCTTCAGGACTGGCTGCAAAGCTCTCCTCTGTGGCCTAACAGAACTGCTCCTCCCTTGGGGGTGGGGAGGTCAAAGAGCCAGCCATTGACTTCCTGTTAGAAATAGTCCTTGTTCCCCTTACTATGGGAAACCAATTGGTTACTGAACTACCACGGGCTACATCCAAGCGGAGGTTCTAGGTTATATCCATACATGGTCCTTGGTTGAATATCATATACACCTAAAAAAGATAATCAAGAGAGCGGACATGGGGTAAGATGATCAATCCTCATTTAGAAAGACAAATGGGACGTGCATTGAATGTATGACAGGAGTCTACTGAAGGCATCTGAAAGACTCTAACTAGGAGTGTTTTCAAAGTAGATACAAAGACTTATAACCAAACCTTTGGCAGAGTATAGGGAATCATATGAAAGAAAGGGAGCTAGTATGATGGGGAAAGGATAGGAGCCCCACAAGGACCAAATATATCTGGGCACAGGGTCTTTTCTGAGGGAAGCCATCTTAAACCAACCAGTCTCAGTCAAAGCACCAGATGGCTAAAGCGTCAGTTGTGATCTAGCCAGCAGTAGCACAGGAACTGTCAAATGAACGCACTGCAAAATGCGCTCATCAAAACTGTTCTTATTTTTAAACTACCGAATTTTGGTTATTTCCTTACTCAATAAATGTAAACAAATATCTCAGAAGCCAAATTCAATGACTTTAACAGAAATATACCAAGCAGATATTCTCAAAGTATACAACAAATATAATCAGAAGACTTTCTTAAGCACGTGTACAGAATCTGAAAATGACAATGAATGTCAACTGCAGGAACTTAGGTTACTGGTGTGAGGACAGATGACATGAACAATTAAAAAAGTACATTCATAAAGTCTACTTTACAACTCTGTGTGTGTGCACACACATGCGCTTGTGCATGCACGAATGCTCACATGCATGTGCGCAGAAGCCAGAGAACCTTAGGTTTCCTTCCTCAGACATCATCTACCTTTTATTTGAGACAAGGTCACTTATTGATCCAGAAGTCCCAAAAGCAGGCCTGTCTGGCTGGAGAGCAAGTCTGCCTCTCCCCAGAGGTGGGATTACAAACACGTGCCACCATTGAAGGGGCTCTAGCAGGCCTGAGATGGCAAACACTGCAGACAGGTTTTGCCCTGTTACCCCTTTCCTCTCCCTGGATAAAAACCCTTACATTTCTAAAGGAGGCCCCCACGGTCTATTCCCTTATTTTGCCACTGACTCATTCCCGAGACAAAACACCAAAGTCCAACCATTAAAATCCATTATTTGTCTGATATGTCTGATGAGGATTTACCAACATTTTCCCCTTAAAACCCAGGCAGAAACATCCTCTCTTGTTCTCTTGCTTTCCTTGCTTGCTCTCAATTGCTGCTGCTGTCCTTGCAGCCCCCACCTCCACTGACCCATTCAGGACAATAAATCTTTGTGCTGAGAATTTAGTGTCTGGTGTGCTCTGTACTAATTGCTGGGGGTGGGGCGGGGGAGGGAGTGACCTCCCTTTCAACCACACTATACATACATACATGCACACACATATATGTATTTATACACACACACATATATCTCTGCATATACATATCTATATGGCTGTACACACATGAGGTCCCATTCAGGTCCTCACGGTTACACACATCATGCCTACAGCTCTCTCTCCAGCACCCTCGCTTTCAGGCTTGAGCCTCTTGTGGTCCAAGTAGTCCAAGATGTCCTTGGACCTGCTCCATAGCTAACGATAGTTTTTAATCAGGAGCCTTCCATAACTGTTTTTTTTTTTTTGGGGGGGGGTGTTTATTTGTTTGTTGTTTTTTTTGTTTTCTGCAGTGTTAGTGACTGATCCCAGGCACTTGCACATGCTGGGTTATGGCCTAGGCCACGGCTCCACTAGTAACACCTCAACCCTCCCAAGGATGATCTAGAAGCCCTGATTCTCCTGCCACTATCTACCAAAAGCCTTGCTGTCAAGCATGCACCACAAATTTTAGTTATGTAAAAAACAAGAACATAAAAAGGGTTTATAACTTTAGGGTATGTTACTATAATAGACGTTAAGAAAACAGTTTTCTTCATATGCATCAGGCAACATACTTTTCCCATTTTAAATAATGTTTAATAGAATATTATTATTTTCCTGAGTATCAGAGGTAGTAAATCCACAAATATTGGTATTTAAAATAAGGTGGTTAAAAATAAATGTTTGTTCTAACAGACTTGAATGCTATAAAAAAGACTCGTGACAAATGAACCTTTGGCGTGACTTAATTAAATGTGGCAAAATATGTAAAAACCAGAAGACATTAGGAGTCTACTATCTCTGCGGTGGTCCTCTTTCTGGGCCTTTTATCTCATATGGAAATGCTGCTGCGAGGGTTCAGGTCAGAGTGGTATTGTACCTAGGAGATTTATCTTCAAAGGGGGGCCTTTTAAAATCCGCAGTGACTCATTTCAAAGAAAATGGAACGTCTTTCTCCCAGTATATCAACTCCCCCCAAAAACTGTTCTATAAACTGTTAAAGAATACCTGGCAGGCTAGAGCCCCTACTTGGGATATATGCCAACAATCTCACAAGTACAGCAGTCACTAAGTCTCATTAAGCTGGTAACAGGATCTTTTCACAACAAAGCAGGAACATGAACGCACGTTACACACCTCCCAAGATGAGGTGGTGAGCCGACACAGCCCGTGCCGGGGGCGGGGCAACCTGGGACGTGGCTCCCCAAGCCGTGTTTCCAGTGCTTGACAACTGGCAGCAGAAAAACACGGTTCCAATCCTCCTCTCTCCAGGCATGACCGGACTCGGTAGCCCAGCCCAGGTCACCGCAAAAACCTCCACAACCGGTTCTATCTGCGTAAACCCACCCACAGCTCCGCACCCTGTCCGACCTGTAATGTGACTCCGGCTTGTAGGACTCCTCTCTCCCGGCTGGTACCTATCTTCAAGGTCAAATAATCCAGCCCAAGTCTGAAGAACAGCGAAGGGTGCATCCACGGGACCGAACTCAAGGAAAGATTCTGGAAACGTTTCCGCGTTTCCCTGGGCCTTGCTTGTGACGTCACACAGGGCGAAACTACATTTCCCACAAGTCTGTGGGGGGCAATTTCGGAAATACATGAAAGGGTTTTACTCTTTCCTGGTTTTTTTTTTCTTTCTGTTTTTCTTTTTCATAGAAGTGTGTCATAGAAGTCTCCACACACCGAACAACTTCAAATAAATATGTTTCTTTTAATTCCGAGAATAGAAAAATAAATTGAGATGTTTGAATGTAATTAAAGCCTTTGACAACAATTATTTTATTCCTTTTGCTTTTTCTAGTTATTGTGGCAGGAAGTAGCTAAAGATGATTGATTTCCCTACCTGTTATTCATTTATTATCAAGAAAAGGCTAGAATGGTGTACTTCAAGCCTGAGACAAACAGCTGCAGGTCCTCCCACCATTCCTCTGGGGTCCCTACCTGCTAGGGTGGGGGTTGGGGGTATGGTTGGCAGACCCCACCCTCTAGCCTGAACTTTCCAGGGCAGGGGCTTCCTGTTAGGATTGTACATTAAGTTACACGGTGGGTGGGATGTTTATTAAGGAAAGGGCTCACAGAGACCATCTCTGGGCAGGGCAGGAGAGAGATTGGATGTGGTTAGAGCTCTCTTATAAGGTGACCCAGAATATGTGCAGGTGGTTTCAGGTAGTCCGTAGGTGGCTTCACAGATGCCTGGTATCTGGTTTGTCAGGTTTCTTGGGGCTGGCCTTAGAGATGCCTGCTTATCCCCTCCTCCTCACCGTGTAATACGGACATTTTGGTGCTCTTATTTTTCTTCTGTCTTCCTCCCTTGCATGGTGACCAAAAGCTACTTCCAAGGAACCTGTATTTATATACTTTTAACTTGCCTTATATGAGAAGCAGTCCAGCATCTGCATGCTGGCCTTGCCGCCCCTTCCTAGCCCCTCTTTTTTTTTTTTTTTAATTAAAAAGGGGGGGTATGTTATGTTGTTCAGGCAATTCAATGGGACTTCCCTTAGGGGCCTTTAGGGTCCTGACAATGTCTTTGTCACTGCCTGTGTCCTTTGACATCACCTGGGCCAGGTACTTTAGATATAACCAGTCCACCACTCCCACCTGCTCTTTCTCTGTTATCTCTCTTCTCTTGCACTCCCTCTGCCTCTGTTTCTCTCTCTTCACCTCCATTCAATAAATCTCTTTCATATTAGATCTGTTGTGTGTGGCATTTTTAAATATATCCTAACAAAAACCACACAGCTACTTATATATGCTTACTGTAGCATGGAAAATTGACATAGTCAACTCAATTTTCTTGAAAATACTTAAACAGGGCCTCTGAAAAGCTTTGCCCTGCAGACTATCAAAGCAGACACTGAGATTTATGGGCAACTGTTGGGCAGAGTGCATGGAATCTTATGTAAGAAGTAGGAAATAGTAAGATCTGGAGAAGACAGGAACTCCACAAGGAGAGCAACAGAACCAGAAAATTTGAACACAGGGGTCTTCCCAGAGACTCATACTCCAACCAAGTACCATGCTTGGAGATAACCTAGAACCCCTGCACAGATGTAGCCCATGGGAGTTTAGTGTCCAAGTGAGTTACATAGTAATGGGAAGAGGGACTGCCTCTGACATAATCTGATTGGCCTGCTCTTTGATCACCTCCCCCTGAGGGGGAAGCAGTCTTACCAGGCCACAGAAGATGACAATGCAGCCACTCCTGATGTGATCTGATAGACTAAGATGAGAAGGAAGGAGAGGAGGACCTCCCCTATCAGTGGACTTGGGGAGGGGCATGTGTGAAGAAGGGGGAGGGAGGGTGGAATAGGGAGGGGAGGAGGGGGGCTTATGGTGGGATACAAAGTGAATAAAGTGTAATTAATAAAAAAATTAAAAAAGAAAGAAAATACTTAACAATAAACAAATATGTGAACTGACTTCCAACCCTTTAAAGTGATTTTTGAATCCAGCCCTGGCAGTGCTGGCCTGTAAGTCAAAATTGCTCAGGGGTCTGCAGCAGCAGGGTTGGCAGCCTCCAAGGCCTACTGGACAATTAAATGAGGCTCTGTCCCCAGTGAAAAGTGCAGAAATTGATGGCTAGGTAGTTCAGTCACAGGACACTGGCCTACAATGTGGGGTCCTTACTTTTAATACCCAGTACAAAAAATAAAACATGTACGGAGAGATGACTCAGCCCTTTGGATATGTGTTGTTCTTGCGGAGGACCAGGGTTTGATTCTCAGCACATACACTGTGGCTCACACCATTCTTAACTCCAGTTCCAGGGTTTGTGTATATATGTTTATATATTTTTTACTTTATTTTTTATTAAATTCCAGGTTATTAAATGTCCTCTTCTGACCTCTGCAAGCATCAGACCCACACAGTATACATACAGACATGCAGGCAAAACATTTATACATGTAAAATAAATAAATGTAAACAAGTTAAAATAAATAAAATTAAATGAAATAATTTAAAAAAAAAACTTGATCTTATCTAGTAAAATGTGTGGTCCACAAATGTATCAGATGTCACAGTTAGAAAAGTTTTAGGTCTGGAAAATGGTTCAGTGGTTAAGAGGACCCGGTCTTCCAAAGGACCTGGGCTGCATTCATAGCACCCTCACGTCAGCTCACTCCAGTTCTAGGATATGTCTCTCTCTCCCTCAGACATTTCATGAAAGTGGTGTGCAGACATGCATGTAAATAAAACATCCACTGCCACACACAAGATTTTAGTGTGTAGACTGGAATACAATAGGTAGGAGGTAGATTAAGGTTAGGGTTAAGGTTACGTTTAGGGCTAGGGTAGCAAGTGTTCTTAAACTCTGAGCCCTCTCTGTAGCCTCAAAGAGAGGCATGAGTTTTAGAGGCCAGGCCTAAAGTGAAGGGTATGACAGTCTTGGGATTTAAGGTCCTGAGGCCTCCAGAGAAATTGTCAGCACTTTGTAATCTCAGTTCCCCTCATGATAGAAGGAGCTTGAAGAAGAATTGTTTCTAACTCTTGTCCCAGTGCTGACATTCTGAGATACAGAATTTGAAATTGGGACTCAGGTTAGAACCTGAAGTCCCAGGTTTTGGAGTCTGAGTGAGGCAGGAGGATTGTTTGACACTAGAAATTCAGGGTCAACCATGGCAAATAAGACGTAGTAAGGATCAAAAGATATAGATAAACAAGTAAATAGTCAACTGATCTAGTGGGAAAAGCCTGTAATCTCTACCCCTTGGGAAGCTGAGAGAGGGGGGTCATAAGTGGGAATCTTGCCTAGAATACAGTGAGCTGCAGAATGGCCTAGTCAATGTATTCTAACTGTGTCTCAAAATAACAAGTATCAAGAGGATTAAGGATGTAGCTTAGTGGTGGGGTGTTTGCATAGCACAGCCTGGCTTCTATTCCTATTACCACTGCCCCAGCCCCTATGCTGCAGGGCCCTTCCCAGGAAACAACACTCCCAGAATGTGGTCTTTATAATCAGTTAATGTGAACTGAACTCTGTGTAGGGTCTAGTGTACTTTGGAGCTATTCAGAGTAGGCAGAGCAACAGGTGTTACAAAGAACAGCTTCAGACTGGCCCTGATAAGCAACAGGAAGGAGAGCAAAGCCTAACCCTCGGGAGTCTACAAGCCTTCCCTCAGTTTCCAAATCCTTGTGATTCTGGGTAATATCTATTTTAGCCTTCCAAGAAAGGTGGCCACATAGCGTAATAGCTGGTAAGAAGCAGGGCTGAGATTTGTGTCCACACTCTTCTTGGCCATGGCCAGGACCCTTGCTATATTATCAACAATATGTTAAGATTGCGATGTGCTGGGAAGAAACACAGGACCTAGTCAAGTCCTGAGTTATGTCTCCAGACCAAAAGTTTACTTATGATGGTTGTAATTGATGTTTTGGTGTGTGTGCATGCATATGTGTTTGTGTTGTGTGTGTGTGTGTGTGTGTGTGTGTGTGTGTGACATGCACATGCATAGACAACTATGCACATACATGAATACATGTGCAGAGGTCATAGCAAGACATCAAGTGTCTTCCTTTATCACTCTTTGAGTGGTTGTCTTGCGACTTAGTCACTAAATCTGAAACTTGGTACTGTTTGGCCACAGTGGTTGGCCTGTGTACTCTCAGGATCCACCTCTCTCTCTCTCTCTCTCTCTCTCTCTCTCTCTCTCTCTCTCTCTCTTTCCTCTTCTTTTCTCTTCTCTCCCTCTCTCCCCATCTCTGTCTCCAAATATTGAGGTTATAGGCACTCACAGTCACGCCAGCTTTTATGTGGGTGCTGCTCCTACTTGGAAGGCAAGCAGTCATAACTATTTAGCCCTCCTTGTTTTGTTTCAGGACCTTATCCTCCAGTGCACGCTGTTCTCCAACTTATGACCCTCTGGCCTCTGTGTCTCGAGGACCAGGAATCAAAGCATAAGCTGCCATGCCCAGAAGGAAGCTGGGCATTGAGGTCTTGCGCTTGGTCTTTTCTCCACCTTGAGCTAATATTTTGAAATGATATAAGTGTCCAACTTTATTCCTCTACACATGATCATCTTAGTCTCCCAGGACCATTTGTCAAAAGGACTTTCCTTTGGGGGTGGGAGGGAAAAAGCTTTAACAAATATTTATTTTCTTTTTCATTACTTATTTGTGGTTATGTGCATATAAAGTGTAAATGCCCACAGAGGTTAGAGGAGGGCATCAGATCACCTAGATCTGGAGTTGCTCGTCCTGAGCTGCCAGGTATAGGCACTGGGGACAAAACTCCAGTCTTCTGTAGACACAGCAAGCAGTCTTAACCACTGAGCCACCTCTTCAAGCCATGGAAGTGCTTTTTAACAACAGGAGTTATCAAGGTGTTGTGTGCTGGTGTGGTGGTGTAGGGGAATTAGTAATACAGAAATGAGGAAAGGGCTTTAGGAGGAGCTGGCCTTAAAGGTAGCAGAATGGGCTTGGTTCAGAGGCCTG